CAGTTTGGTAAGGACCCTAATAAAAGTTGACTGTGAGTGATCAGTCCATGTCTTCCAAGAAAAGAGCAGGTCATTATTTACTTATCGCAGCTGAGAGAAACAGCAGGGTTTCTCTCTTGGCCTGCTTAGTTCAGATCAACCTGTTCCCTTCTACAGGCCAACTCCTCTCACAAAGCAGCCAGCCATGTGATCCTCCTGTGCAGTGGCAGTTCACTGGAAACGGAGTGCATTTTCACTCATGTATTTTGTCCAATCAAGCTTATTATGTCTCCTCTGTTGTTACTCAAAGTTAAAATACATATTCCTCCTTTGTACCTTTGTGTGAGCATATACTACATTTTATACATTAAAAGAAAAACTCATTTTGTTATGTTGTTAAGATGTTTGCCATGATATATTAATTGTACCGTGTTATGTAACCAAGCTCCGGGAATGTCTATTCTTTGGGACTAGGGTGGTGGCGCAAAGTTCACTGCTTGGGAGGAGAGCTTCACCTCATGAAGGCAGAACCTTCATGGGCAACAGAAACAAACCTCTCAAAAACCGGGAACCAAAGAATGTCAAGTTACTCTGGAATTGATCTATCCCTGGTTGCAAATCATGAGATTATTTTAAGACTCAAAGGTAAACTAGAAAAAAAAAATCTACAGGATGAAGTTCTCCATCCCTGGGAGTCAATGATGAGCTCTTTTTTTTTTTTTGATGAGCTCATTTTTAATGCTTTAGACTTCAGTCAAGGTTACCTTAGTGGCGCCTCCAGCGAGCAATACTGGAAAATGATGGCGATTTATTTCACTCAAATATAACCATGTGTAATCTATGTGTAATCTAGGCATTGAGCAGAGCAATGATCAGCATAAAGTATAGCAAAAATAAAAACAAACACCCAAGAATGAGATGTTACCTCTTTTGCACTACTCAAATGGAAAATCACTTTATTTCTGCTAGTTATGAATATAAGCATGGTGAATCAGCAGGTTTCATTGTAATTCAATTTATTAAGATTTAATCAATGTCTTTTCCAGAAATAGTACTATATATGAAAATGAATCCAATAAAGTAGTTTTTCCAGTATTCCAGATAGATTTAAGGTGATGCGTCACCCTCTTTAACCAAAACAAAGTGCCATGGAGTTGATTCTGACTCGTAGTGGTGACCCTATAGGCCAGAACAGAAATGCCCCTCTGGGTTTCTGGGACTGTAAAAATTGATGGGCTTAGGCAGCCTCACGTTTTTCACATGGAGCAGCTGGTGGGTTCAAACTGCTGACTGTAGCTAGCAGCTCAACACATAAACTACTATGTCACTAGCGCTCCTCCCCTTCCATCAGGGTGAATAAAAGTTCCAGTTCCTACATGCATGAGTTGATTACAAACAAATCTACTTCTTTTACCAGTGGATTGCTGCAGATAAATTCTCTTAGAAAGACACTTGTCTTAATCTCATCCCCTCCGCTCCCCCTAGCCCCCAAAACAACAACAAACAACTCACTGCCCTTGAGTCTTCCCTTATAGAACAGGGTTCTGAGACTGTAACTCTTTATGGGTGTAGAAAGTCTCATCTTTCTTCCTGTTTCAGTCTCATTAAGATGCCTGGGGAAAAAATGGTCCGATGAAAATGGTGATTTCCTTGGGTCTGCTGGGCTAGTTAAACTCAAGGCAGAGGTCAGGAGGTTAAGATGACTGTGTTTTAAGATTCCATAAGGGTAAGTGTGATGGATTTTCTCAAAAGACACAAGTCAATGGTAAGGGTTTATTAGGAAGAAGTTTTTGTTGTTTTTCTTTTACAACCTAAAGGGCTCTTTTTAGTGGTACCTCACGGCACTACTTTTTGCTTTACTTTTATTCCCCACCCCCCACCCAATTTCCTAAGGGGCTAACAATTCACTTTTATACGGAGAAGATGGCATTCAACCCAGCAAGATTTTACCAAGAAAAGCCAGGGTATTTGATGTTCTCCCTTAGATTGACACACTCCTGTAATTTAGCTTTCTTCACTAGACTATGAGGTCGTATAAATAGCCAGGGCAGGTGGCACAGCTTCTTCATCTTTGTGTCCCTAATACATTGTATCTGCTTCATTATTGATTAACGAATTAGTATAAATTCATAAAAAATTAAATACAGAATTATTATTTTTTGTTTTTTTGTTTAATTAATTTATTTATTTATTTTTTGGTATTTTTTTAAAAACATTTTATTAGGGGCTCAGACAACTGTTATCCCAATCCATACACACATCAATTGTGTAAAGCGCATTTGTACATCGTTTCTCAAAACATTTTCTCTCCATTTAAACCCCCGACATTAGGTCCTCATTTTTCCCCTCCCTCCCCGCTCCCCCCTCCCGCATGAGCCCTTGATAGTTTATAAATGGGTATTTTGTCATATCTTGCCCTGTCCGACGTCTCCCTTCATCCACTTTTCAGTTGTCTGTCCCCAGGGAGGAGGTCACACACAGTTCCATGTAATCGGTTCCCTCTTTCCTACCTATTCTCCCTTTACCCTCCCTGTTTTGCCACTCACACCACTGGTCCTATAGGGCTCATCCGTCCTGGATTCCCTGTATTTTCAGTTCCTATCTGTACCAGTGTCCCTCCTCTGGTCTAGCCAGACTTGCAAGATCAAATTCGAGTCATGGTAGTGGGAGCGGGGAGGAAACATTTAGGAACTAGAGGAAAGTTGTATTTCTCATCATTGTTACATCGCACCCTGACTGGCTCATCTCCTCCCCGAGACCCCTCTGCCAGGGGATCTCCAGTGGCCTACTAATGGGCTTTGGATCTCCACTCCGCACTCCTCCCATCATTCACTATGGTAAGATTTTTTGTTCTGATGATGCCTTACACCTGATCCCTTCGAGACCTCGTGGTTGCATAGGCTGGTGTGCTTCTTCCATGTGGGCTTTGTTGCTTCTGAGCTTGATGGCCGCTTGATTACCTTCAAGCCTTTAAGACCCCAGATGCTATACTTTTTGATAGCCGGGCACCATCAGCTTTCTTTGCCACATTTGCTTATGCACCCATTTGTCTTCAGTGATCCGTTCGACACCCCGTGATCACACAGGTTGATATGTTGTTCCATGTGGGCTTTGTTGCTTCTGAGCTAGATGGCCGCTTGTTTACCTTCAAGCTTTTAAGATCCCAGACGCTATATCTTTTGATAGCCGGGCACAGAATTATTTTTTTTAAAAGCACTTCCATCAAGTGAATTGCCTCATAATGACCCTGTAGGACAGAGCAGCGCTGCCTGCTAGGGTTTTCAAGGCTGTAAACATTTGCAGATAAACATTTGCACAATGCTTTATCTTTCGCCCATAGAGCAGCTCGTGGGTTTGAACCACTAACTTTTGATTACCAGCCAAGCACATAACCACTAAACCACCGATAGTCCTCTAACATCACCAGGAGATCCAGCAATTCCACTCCCTGCTATGTTTTCAAAGGAATAGAAAGTAGAAACAAACATGCATGCATGTCACTCTATTCACAATATCCACATTCCCTCAAAACGTGAATGAGTTATTTTTAAAGTGGCACACACATACACTGAAATATTACTCAGCTATCACAAAGAAGAAGTGGCTCATTCTTGCTGCTCTTCGGCGCTAGTTGTTGTGACCACTGCTGTTCTTTATCAGAATTCCCAATTCCCAGGATCCAAATTCACGGCCTCCCCTTCTGAGAAAGGGAAACTAAGAAAAAGTTTCAAGAGCTCTGCAAACTACATAACAAACTCAAATACCAAACTCACTGACAAACTCGATTGAGGACCCATAGCGACCCTTATACAACAGGGTAGAACTGTCCCTGTGAGTTTCCAAGACTGAAACTGTCCAGGAGTAGAATGCGGGTCTTTCTGCGAGCAGCTGGGGGTTTCGAACTGACTGCAGTCAAACTTGTAACCACTATGCCACAGGGCTGCAAAAAATATCTCCATAGTTAAGCTAAGGCTACCCCCCTCCCCCAGCATTATAACAAAGCATCTGCTCCTTCCTGGAGCTCTCAAGGTTTAACTTGTAACAATTTCTTGGGGACACCTTACTTCCCCCTTCTCACAGCCCAGGTCTTGCTCCTTCAGAGTTCTTTTTGTTCTCTAAACTCGAAACACTTAAAAGGAACATGCTTCGAGGCCCCAAACATTTGGGATTGAATGTAGAAGTTGACAGAAGTGTTTCGTTGTCATTTTTAAACCACTCATTAAAGATTTTTTTCAAGACTGGGAAACAATGCCATTCTCTATTTTTCTCCTTTAGAAAATTGTAATTTGAAATACAAGTTATTTGATAGCATTCTTGTTATTTTTAAATGTACTAATCCCTAATGTCCCTCCCTGCTTTGATTCCTAACACCGTATTTAAGAGAACATACGGGGCTCAGAGACCAAGGACGTTGAGAACCTCCGGTCCGTTAGAAACAATGGGCCTGACGCGTGTTGATAACGATCTAAGGTCCTTTAAGGCTGGCGAGGACCCGACTGGGGTGAGAATCTCTTAGATCCCTTGGGTGAGAAAGACCTCGGCCCTGGACTTCCCACGGGAAAGAACTCACGCCGAAGCCTAGTTTGTGATTCAAGTGGGTTTTTATCAATAAGTTTCAGGAGTTACAAGAAACTGAGCACAGGCACCCTCCTGGCAGCCTGAGGGGAGGAGGGGAGGGAGAATTACACGGAATTAAGCCCAGGTGTACCGCCCACCTGGGCTACCTTACCCGCCCCCTTTCACTCCCAGCCCCACCCCCGGGCTGGGGGCCTGAGTTGGCGCATGCCCTCTAGCCTTTATCGGCCTCCCACTTCCGGTGGGGGCCCCTAGGCATGGAGAGGGGCCACTCCCTCTCTGGCCGGCTAACCAATCCTCCTCGGGCACAGCAGGTCGGGGTTGGTCCACCCGCGGGGACGTAGACGGTGGGACGTCGGAAAATCAGGTCACCGAGGGAAAGCCTCCCAGCGAGCGAGTCTTTGCGACACTGCCGCGTTTCGTCGGCGCGCTGCCGTAAAGACGGGCGTCGAGCCGCCCCCAGCCGGGCGGCCGCCGCAGAGCATAGCAATGGCGGATATGGAGGATCTCTTCGGCAGCGACGCCGACAGCGATGCGGAGCGCAAAGGTGGGCTCGAGAGACGGCTGCGTGGCAGCGCTTCGGCGCCGCTAGGCGGGTCCCGGCCCGGTTCCGGGTCTGCGGACGCTCTGGCGCCGCCCGCAGGAGGCGGCGCGTCCTCCCTCCGGCCCCAGCGTCCCTGCGCTCTGGGCGGTGCCACCTCCCCCGGCTGGTGGGAACAAACGTCGTCGTAGGTGTGGGGTGCCCGTGGGGCGCTGGCAGATCGATGGGCGCAGTCTGGACAGGAGCCCCGGCTCCCACCCTGCCTGCCTTTGCACCGGCCCCTGCAACGCCTCCGACTGCTCGGGGATGCGGGGAGACGTTGTCCGGGAGTCTGGGGTTGGGGTGGGCGGGGTTACAGAAGGTGATGGGGAGTGCGAGGCGGGTAGGTGAGGAGGGTACCAGGATGGGGCTGCACAGCGTTATGGCCTGAATGAGTGCGTCTTCTAAGAGCCCGGGCAAACTTGAGAATTTGTTATTGAATCTATGGTCCTCCTTTAGAGGAGCCGCGGGCCCTGGGTGTAGAGAGCAGGGATGAAAGAGCGCTGTTGATGAAATAAATGACTTTCTGGCGTGTGGGAAGGTTGGTCAGGCTTGCTCTGTAAGCATTTCTAGCCCAGGGACTGGATTATAGCGTTTGAAATATGAATCGAAGTGAGAAGAAGCCCAAGATGAACGTACAATATCTTCCCAACCCTGTAGACTCAGGTTTCTCTCTCTCTCCATATATATCATATACATTTTTTCCTTCGCAGAATACGTTATGCCCCCCTCCCCCATTTTCTTCAACTCCAGTTCTATTAATAACTCGTAGAATGCAGTGAACTGAGCACTGGTGGAGGAGCAGAGACTTGACTTCTAATGTGAGAGATTCACTGGGTTGGATACCTAGGAGGCTCCAGTCAGGATGAACCTGGAGATGTAGAGCCCTGCCTACCGATTGGGTTCCATGACGTTTTGCACTTCGTTGTGTCTGTCTTTCACCCCAGTTTTCGTGTCCATATTGCATTCATCCTTCAAGGCCTCGTTCGTTCCATGTGAGCCCCTCTCCCCTGTGACTCGCACCCATGAAATTGTTCATTCCCTCAATAAGTACCTTTCCCACGGAAGTATTCCAGTTAGGAGAGCACAGTTTGTTTTTCTAATATATATACAGTGAACCCTCGTTTATCGCGGTTAATCGGTTCTAGACCCTACCGTGATAAACGAAATTCCGCGAAGTAGGTTTCCTTATTTGTAAATCAAAATTTTCGTAGTTAGAGCATAGAGGACATGAAAAAACACCCTTTAGTCAGCATTACACTCGTATTACCCAATTTATTAAACGAAAAAGGGAAAATACAGTAAAACATTTTGGATGTTACAATTATCATTTATTATTTATTATATTATTTATGGCATCAAGCGTGTACAGTATGAGCCAATCAGTGGCAGTAATGACAGCATGCGCTGTTACGCAAAAACCGCGATAGAGTGAAGCCGCGGATGTCGAAGCGCGAAGTGGCGAGGGTTCACTGTATATATATATATACAGTGTTGCCATGTGTCATTTGCTGACGCTATCATTCTCAGATGTTCCCTCACAGTTGTTTATGTAAAATGTTTCTATGCCCCAAAGACAAAGATCAGATTTTTAAAGGTACTCATAATAAAAAAAGCAATCATAATGAAAACTTTGAAGCAAAGAAGTATCCATTTGACTTGCGTCAGAACAGACTTCAGAGGGAGTTAAAGGAACAGACCCCCATCGTAAATTAGGGACTGCTTAGTTTATTCATCCCTATTAGTCTGGAGTCCCTGGGGTGGTACAGCTTGAATCCTTCAAAGTTGCCTGGGAAGAGGCCTGGTGATCTACTTCTTTAATCTCGCTACTCCGGTGGTTACTAGTAAACTAATCTAAGTTCCTGGGTGTTGAACTATAATGGTGAAACTTACACAAATGCTAATATGATTAAAAAAATTGCATGATTAGAAATGATAGTTTGATACGGTATATTCTGCAGTTTCCCGTTTTCTGGGGAAGTGATGTGTATCCGGAGCTGAATGTTTCTGGGTTGTTGTTAGTTGCTACCCAGGGTGTGCAGAGTAAACCTGCACCCTAGGGTTTTCAGGGCTGTGATCTTTCAGAGGCAGGTCACCTTCTAACAGGCCTCTGAGTGCATTCAAACTGCCAACCTTTTGGCTAATAGTCAAGTGCTTAACAGTTTATTCTACCTGGGGACTCCTTACAGAATGGGCTTCTTAGCTTCCAAATCTAGCGTGTTTTCCTTAAAAGTAGTATAGACGTGTCTGGTATCTCTCTGGAGTCTAGAAGTTGTAAAAGGAAATTGCACCTAGCAAGTTTCTTAATATGGGTAGAATCCCACCCTAACCTCGTGTGTTTCTTTCAAATATCATGGCTCAGTTATTTTTCTCTTCACTTCACTTAGATGATGAGGGTTTGTCTTAAGATCCTCCAGTTACTCAAAGGTTGCCTGCAACATTCTTGTTAATTTTGGGAATAGACATTTATAATAAAATCTAGACTTGATAGGAATTTCTAACAGGAACTCATAACATTTAAAGTTACACTTCCCATTTATTCCCATTAGGCCATTTTTCTGTAAATACCTTGCTTTTGAATGTAGTGGACCTGACAAGGCTGCATTAGTTAGTCTGCTCTACACAGTAACAAAAACCCTGCAGATGTCAGTCACTTACAGCAGTGCCCAATGATATAAGGAGCGAGCAGTGTGCTGTGTCTGTTTCTTTTCCTTCTGGGATCCAGCCTGAAGAAGTAGCTTTTACCTAAAACTGTTCGTCTTGTAGCAGAGGACAGAAGTGTTTGAGTGCAAGCTGAATCATGCAATTGCTTTCAAAGCTTCTGATCAGGTATGTCACACATCACGGCCACTCACATTCCATTGGCCAGAGCAGTTCACGTAGTCAAGCATGTCTTTGGGACTGGGAAATACTTGGAAATGTAGTGTGTCATATAAGGGTCGGATTATAGAATCCTTTTATGGGGAAGGGAGACGGGGGGGCATGAACAATCTATTATGGAGATTAGTAGTGTTCATAAAGCTTCTTGAAAATGAGAACAAACACTGTAGGCTTACCATGGGTTGAACTAGCAAAATGAGATGGGCTGGCTCTTGCTGAAAGCTACTGATAGTTCCAAAGGTAGTATGGATGTGACAAGACAATTCCTGGTATGCCTAGCGTGTTTTATTACTTTTCTGGACTCTCAGAGTTATGGAGAACTAATTCATGGATTCTTTTGCCTGCTAAAAAATCTATTGAATCCCTCCAGTGAATTTCTTTTTTTTTTTTTTTAATTTCTCTTTTCATCAACTTAACAATAACATACTTAACCAGTTCCAAAAATTTTAATTTCTTGGTTTAATTGCTCATTATTGATACTCACTTTTTGAAAAATTTTTTAATTAAAATGTTTAAATTGAGTTACTTTTAAGTTTAATTAACATATAATTCATGTACTATACACTTCAGTGATTTAGATATATTAAAAAGAGATGTGCAATCATCACCACAATCAAATTTTAGGATATTCACTGTGTAGAGACATACGCACAATTTTTAAAAAAGTTCTTTGTGGTTTACTGGTTCTTTGAACATGTTTAAAAGAAAAGAAAACCCAAACCCACTGCCGTCGAATGGATTCGTACTCATCTTCTAACTCCTAGCGACCTCGCAGGTCCCTGTGGATTTCTGAAGCTGCTGTACATCTCGATGAAGCAGCACTCCTCATCTTCCGCCAGGGAGCTGGTGGGTTTGGACTGTGGACCTGTGGTTAGCGACCCAACATGTTACAGACTCATTACCAAACCAAGCACGCCAAGTCACTGTCACTGAGCCCATTCTGACTCATGGAGACCCGGTAGGCCAGGGTAAAACTGTCCCTTTGGCTTCCGAGACTAACTGTAGATCAGCTGGTTTCGAACCGCTGGCCCTGCAGTTAAGCAGCCCAAACCACTACAACACCCGGGCTCCATTAAAAGATCTGTTTTAACGTTCTTGGTTACTAAGTCCAATATCTGGGCCTCTTTAGCACTAGTTTTTGTTTATTTATTTAGACCACAATCCATACATACACCCATTGTGTCAAGCACATTCGTACATTGTTGCCCTCATCATTCTCAAAACATTTGCTTTCTACTTGAGCCCTTGGTATCAGCTCCTCATTTTTTCCCCTCCCTCCCTGATTCCCCCTCCCCCATGAACTCTTGATAATTTACAAATTATTATTATTTTGTCATATCTTACACTGCCCGACGTCTCCCTTCACCCACTTTTCTGTTGCAGGACTAGTTTTTATTAATTAACCTTTTTTTCCCCCCAGAGTATAGTCCACACATTGTTTCTTTGCATATATTGTAATTAATCTGTTGAAAAATGGACATTTTTAACATTATAATCTAATAAGTATGGACGTTGCTTTCTTTTCCCTTCCTAAGGTTTCTTGCTGCAATTTTTATTCCTTGTTTGCGTAGTAAATTTTTTTTAATCTTGTTTTTGAAAATAATTTTATTGGGGCTTATACAACTCCTTTTTTCATTTTAAAATCATTTTATTAGGGGCTTATACGACTCTTAGCACAATCCATACATCCATCCATTGTGTCAAGCACATTTGCACGTTTGTTGCCCTCATCATTCTCAAAACATTAGCTTTCCACTTCAGTCCTTGGTTTCAGCTCCTCATTTTTTTCCCCTGCCTCCCCACCCCACCTCTCTCACGAACCTTTGATGATTTATAAATTATTATTTTTTTGTCATGTCTTACACTGTCCAGTGTCTCCCTTCACCCACTTTTCTGTTGTCCGTCCCCCAGGGAGGAGGTTACAGGTAGATCACTGTGATGGGTTCTTCCTTTCTCCCTCACCTTCCCCTTCCCCTCCTGGTATCACTACTCTCATTATAGGTGTTGAGGGGTTTATCTATCCTGGAATCCCTGTGTTTCCAGCTCTTATCTGTATCCATGTACATGTTCTGGTCTCGTCGGATTTGTAAGGTAGAATTGGGATCATGATAGTGGGGGTTAGGAAACATTAAAGAACTAGAGATAAGTTGCTTGTTTCATTGTTGCTATACTGCACCTTAACTGGCTCATCTCCTCCCCGCAACCCTTCTGTAAGGGGATGTCCAGTTGCCTAGAGATGGGCTTTGGGTCCCCACTCCGCATTACCCCTCATTCATAATATGATTTTTTGTTCTTTGATGCCTGATACCTAATCCTATCGACGCCTCATGATCACACAGGCTGGTGTGCTTATTCCATATGGGCTTTGTTGCTTCTCAGCTAGATGGCTTCTTGTTTATCTTCAAGCCTTTAAGACCCCAGACACTATATCTTTTGATAGCCAGGCACCATCAGCTTTCTTCACCACATTTGCTTATGCACCTGCTTTGTCTTCAGTGATTGTGTTGGAAGGTGAGCATCATGGAATGCCAGGTTATTAGAACAAAGTGTTCTTGCATTGAGGGATTACTTGAGTGGAGGCCCAATGTCCATCTGCTACCTTAATACTAAACCTATAAATATACTAGTATATACATAGATCTATTTCCCCATCATTATATAAATATATTTACATATGTACATGTCTTTAGACTTCTATAAAAGCCCTACCAGGCCTCCTATACCCTTCTCGCCATCAATTTTGGATCACTTGTTCCCTTGTCCCTGGGTTTGTTAACACCCACTTCCTTTGCCCACCTGCGCCTCTCCCATGTCCCCCAAGAACTGTAGGTCCTGTTGTTTTCTCCTCCAGATTGTTTATTCTCCCTATCTTATCTAGATAGACATGCAGAGATAATTTGCACCAAAACAAGACAGAGCAAAACAAACAACAACAAAAAGAAAAGTCTGTAAATGGTTCAAGGTCTGTTTGTTGACCTTTAGGAGTGTTTTTCGGTCAAGTTGATGGGGTGCCACGCCCTGGCCCCAAAGTCTATTTTTGGTGTTTCCTGGGGACTTCCTTGCTCTGTTCCCTTGCTGTTCTGTTTCACACCCTCAGAATTTTGACTCAGTGTGGTGGGGTCAGATCGGGCACAATTCCCACACTGTGCCTCCAGTGTTGTACCCCGTAGTGCTATGGGTCAGTGAAGGACGTCAGTGAGGGACGGATGTCGTATCTTGTGGTGGAGGTGGCCCTATGGTCCTGTATCTGCAGTGGCTGCTCTGAGCAGGAATATTGTCTTCAGGGCTTGGTGGGCCAGGATGTGTTCTACTCTCTCTTCCTCTCCTGTGTGCTCTGATCAGACATGTCGCTCTCCCTGCGCTGTAGCTTCAGTGCTGTCCTCTGAGGTGAATTCTTCTGCCGGAGGTGAGGGCTGATCACGTAGTTGGGATTGGTGCGGGCCCCTGCTTAGTAACTTTTCTGAGCTGATATTTTAAAATCTGTATTCATAGATTGCATATGTGGGTGACCACTGACATCTCAATTCTTTTAGCCTAGTGGTAAACCGATAATTCCCAGAAGTTTTGTTCAGTGCCTCTCAAATCTCTGCACCATTATAGACTGGATCCATGTCAGTGTTGGTGCTTGCAGGCAGTTTACAAATCCTGCCCTAGTTGGTACAGATGCTGAAGGTGAATGAGCCAGAGGTGAGAATGTAGTATGCCTTAAAACTCCCGCTGTCCGTGGGCATAGGTGTGGCCTTCTAGGGTCCCAGGAGTATGTGGGCACTTTTGAAAGCGCCTCTGGCTCAACCACCTTGTTCCCCAGCCTTTCCTCTGAGCCCTTTTAGGCTCTTCTTGTCCTCCATGCTGTACATTGCCCTAGCAACTAATCCGTATTTAGTAGCTGTCTTGTTATTCGACATTTTACATCTACAGCAAGAGTGGAAAATCTATTCTCTGACTATTTTGTACAGTAAGAGGCAGCAAGCTTGGTGGCAATGTTGTGGAGCTGCCTCTGCCATGAGGACGGTCTCTGGGTGGCTTGTTGCTCTGTAGCCACAGCCTCCAGGCGATGCACAGGCAGTGCCCAGCCAGTGGGCACTTGCTCTCAGTGCCCAGCCTTGAGCTGCAGCGGCTTGCAGGCCCGAAGGACAGCCGGGTGGATCATGAAAGCAGGACCTGCAGGGGTCAGTGACCCCCTGGCAGCGTCCTGTAAGGGACGCTGGGAACTAGCACAGGAGGAAGGTAAAATGGGGAAGTGGGGAAGCTGTGACCCCTCCAGCCTCACAGCCTGGCTTTATCCAGTTTGGCGTCCTCTGGGCCGCCTCCTTCAGAATGCTAAACGGGATCCATCAGTTTGAAACATCAGTAAGTTTCAGCTGTTGTTATTTTATGATCGTATTTGCGAAATTGAAACAAAAGATGCAGACAAACAAGTGGTCTGAAAATGGGGGAAAATCATCTACTTTCATATAATACTAGTTTTCACATAATAACCCAGATTTTGGAACCTAACTATGTCAACAAGTGAAGAGTGAGTGTAGGTATTTCTTATAATTGCCTCCTTCCCTCCCCCTAGTTGCCTTTGCACCTGAAGAGTTCTGCATCAGTGGGGTAAAGGTAAGTTCCATAAACCGGCCCTCCAGAGAGCCACCTGACAGAAGCAAATAGTAGTCACAGTCCTTTGTGACTGAGGGGTGATAATCTTGATCCTTTGTGGCTTATTAAGTTAGAGGTGGGGTGGGAGGTAGGCTGTGTGAACGCGCCGAGTGCGGAGTTTCAGCTTGTCTTCCTAAGGCAGTCCTTTCCTGGCTGCTGCAGCTTCTGCTTAGAGTGCTGGGAGGACCGAGAAAGCAGGGGCAGACTCACTGTTGTGGTGGCCTCTATGTTGGGATGAGCTTTGGGAGTGCCCTACTCCCCCTTTTCTGCTAAAAATTCGAATGTACATTTTCTCTCTCAGATTCCGATTCTGGATCCGACTCTGATTCTGATCAAGAGAATGCTGCCTCTGGCAGCAACGCCTCTGGCAGCGAGAGTGACCAGGACGACAGAGGCGACTCAGGCAAGCCGAGTAACAAGGAGCTGTTTGGGGACGACAGCGAGGACGAGGCCGCCTCTCACCACAGCGGGAGTGACCAGGCCTCCGAAAGGTCGGACAACGGAACGGAAGCCTCGGAGCATTCCGAGCGGGAGGACATCGAGCCCTCCGACGGGGAGCAGCCCAGCGGCTCGGAGGGCCCCAATGAGGACGAGGACGAAGGCGCTCGGTCCGACGCAGGGAGCCGTCGCTCAGAAGCGGATGGTTCCGAGAAAGCTCCCTCGGACGATGGGAAATGGGACGGAGAGGATAAAAGCGATCAGTCCGATGACGACAAGCTGCCGAATTCCGACGAGGAGGAGGAGGAGGAGAGGGCACCAGAGTCCGATGACGACAAGCTGCCGAATTCCGACGAGGAGGAGGAGGAGGAGGAGAAACTGCAGAACACGGACGACGAGGAGCGGCCCCAGCTCTCGGAGGAGGAGGAGAAGGCCAACTCCGATGACGACCAGCCCCCAGCTTCCGATGAGGACGACGACGACGACGACGCCAAGAAACAGAATTCTGACGACGAGGAGCGGCCCCAGGTGTCTGACGAGGACAAAGTGCCGAATTCGGATGACGAAAGACCACGGGCCTCGGATGAAGAACGCAGGCATTCCGACGAGGAGGAGGAGGAGCAGGACCATAAGTCAGGTAGGACGTTCTGAGCACTGAAATGCTTCACAGTGTTTAGGACAGCTTACACACAGTCGTTTTCCACTCAATAACGAACGACATGGGTTTTAGTAGAAGTGCACTTCGGCCTTCATAACCCTGGTTTTTCTTTCTGGCCTCCCTTGCCACCGCTTCTCATCCTCCACGTTTTTCTGGTCTGTGTATTCCTCTGTCTCTCCTCGGCCCGTATGTTAATAACCAGGAAACTAATGTAAAAGAAGCCAGTCCTAAACGCATGGCTGGCGCTAAAGTACCTGGCCAGTAGAGTCGTTTCCATTCTTGGGGCTAACCGTTTAAAGAGCCTCGGGTGAGACTAGATTTGTCTGGGAGGGGGAGGGAACAATACTGCTTGCTTTGTCCCCCTGGAGTGTACTGAGGTGTGGGCACCTGGCTTTAGTTCATCCAGAGTCCATTGGGTTGTAAGGTGTGTACTCAGCTAATCAAATGCATAAGAATCTCCTGTATAAAAATCTAATTGCAAAAAGGTGTGTCTTTTGCAATTAAGGCGATCAGTTATTTCCCTCTTAATGTCTTTTCTCCAGGGGCAAATCTATAATGGATGCCAACTTATGGTAATCAGAAGGTTGCTTGGGGAACATAGAATCGAGAAATGAAGAAGGTGGCTGGGTGGTCTCCCGGCCATTGTTCCTGAGCTGCCATAGCTTGACACTTGCACCCCAGCCCGCGGGGGATATGGGCTGAGGGCAAGGCCCTCATTCCCTGAAGGCTAGCGGAAATGCACAACCAAAATTTGGCTTTGTGGGTCTCCCTTTTGTAACTGTTTATGCCATTCTGATGAAGGTGATAGATTCTTCCTGGAGAGTATGACACATGAAGATTAGGTATCTCATTTATTTATACAATGACCTCTGGATTAGGTTGGCAGTCTTCCTAAAGTTTTATCTGGATTGCTTAATTTTCTTTAGGTGACTGATTATATTAATTACATTTTTATCCTATCTTAGAGAGTTTAAATAGGAAGGACTCTTTTTCTCTGTAACACATAGCTCACATGATATCATTCAAGACCACATTCTGGCAGTATTAGGAGGGAGGTCAGAATATTTCCAGAGATGGATACAGGTCTATGTAATATATGGGATGACAGTAAGTATTCAATAACCATTCAGAGTTGAATTGTTTGTATTGATTGTTATCAAGATATTTAATAGTCGTAAATATTTGATAGCCATTGGTATCGCCAGTCAATTCCAACTCCTATCGACCCTGCAGGACAGAGTAGAACTGGCACGTCTTTCTCCCATGGCTGGTGGCCTCGGACTGCCCACCTTGTGGTTATCAGATCACTTTAATCACTGCACCACCAGGGCTCCTAGTATTATACTCTTGCAAATACTAGCTGGTTAACATAAAGTGAAGGCCATATGTAACTGATTACCCTGCTTAACTTTTACTAATTTTACAATAGTCCTGTTCTACCCAGATATTTTGATGTGTTTAATGATATATTTGTTTTATGATGTATTTAGTGATATATTCCTTTCCAATATTTTTACTTCTTGTTTTTTTCTTCTGTAATAAGTCATCTGTCAATACGATCATACATGTTTCAATACTACTATTCTCATTTCTACTGTCTTTCTGTTTAAAGAAAACCAATGTTGGTTTTTAATTTAATTTTTAAACTTAACCTAAGAGTAAAGTAGATTTGTGTATGTGCATATACACTTCTGTTATTTTAACACATGTAGAGCTTTGTGCAACCCCCACCAGTCGCCTACAGAACAGTCTGTCACTAAAAAACCTCCCTCCTGCAGTTGCTTGTAGTCGCACCGCCACCTCTAAACCCTGCAACCACTGATCTGTTCTGCTGCTGTTTTTTTGTCTTTCTGAGAATGTCGCACAAGTGGAATCACACATCCAGTGAGACTGGCTCATTTCCAGGAGCATACTGCATTGAGATTGATACGTGTATGAGGTCGCCCATGTTATTACTGCGTGGTACTCCATCATTTGTATGTACCACTGTTGGTCTCTCCCTGCGGCTGCTTTTAGAACATATTGACAGACACGCACGTTCTAAGCTGGGGTGCAGATGTGATCATGCAGACGGTCTCCCTTTCTGTTATAGAATCTGGAAGAGGCAGTGACAGTGAAGACGAGGTTTTACGAATGAAACGCAAGAATGCGATTGCGTCTGATTCAGAAGCGGAGAGTGATGCCGAGATGCCAAAAGGTATCCCAACACCTCCTTTGATTTTTCTTTTTCTGATACATTGTGTTGTGATTTTGGTGAAAGTGACCCAGTGAATTCGGTTGTTTTGAGTGTTTTGATACAGGTCACTGGATGACATTTGTTATGTTTTTCACAGTGTGTTGCCGCATTTCCTCTTAACTGGGTTCTGGTTGCCCCATGTCCAGTACTCCCTCTCCCTGCCCCTGCCCTTCAGTCTTTGCTTTAAAGCAAGGGTTCTCAACCTGTGGGTTTGGGGATCGAACGACCCTTTCACAAGGGTTGCCTAAGATCATCGGAAAACACATTTCTGATGATCTTAGGAACCACTGAGACACCGCTCCTTTATCTGTCTCCAGGTAGGTCTGCCCACATGCAGATACACCCACATACGAGTGTGATGACTTCATCGTGCCAACCCCTTCACATACACTCCGTACAAATACAAGTGTATGTGACAGGGTTGGTGCCATAATGTACTTATGCTGACCAGGCACACACGTGTAGAGAACAGCTACTGTGTAGAAAGCAGCTGCTGTGTTGAAAGCAACTACTCTGTTAAAAGCAGCTACTGTGTTGAAAGTGGCAGTATTGGAGGTAAAACAACACTTCATAAATTATAATTACTGGGTAAACGTAAAATCATGTTCTGTAAAATCAACTACTGCAAATAAAAATCTGTACTATGGAACTTAATCTGGATGCTGATCGGTCTTTTTTTATTCAGCTGTGGTTGATATGAATACCGCCCCCTTGTGATAGTCACAGATGTGTAAAAAACAACAACACAGAATGATAAACCATAGGAAACCTTAATGAACTTTTTGACTGAACTATGCCATGTATCATCTTATATTATATTGTTTTCATTAGCAAACCATCTTAAGACAATGGATCGTGTAGAGAAGAGCGTTAAGAAAAGAAAATAAAGTGAGGATTTTTATACAGTATGGTTTTACCTCAATAATTACAGCAGGAATTGAGAAACCTCAATGTGTTATTTGTTGTGAAGTTCTATCCGCCGAATCTGTGAAGTCAAACAAACTAAAACGCCATTTTGATAGCAAGTATCCGAGCTATGCCGACAGGGATACCAACTATTTTAGAAGCAAAGCAGATGGGCTCAAGAAAGCCAGACTTGACACTGGTGGCAAGTACCACAAACAAAATACAGCAGCTGTTGAAGCTTCACATTTGTTTAAGGTGACCAGACAGTCCCCTGATTTTTAACAAATTTTCCCGCGTCCTGCGGTGTTTTAAAAAAGTCCCGATTTTTGGAAAGAATGAACGACAAGCTAGGGTATACAGTTTTCGGCTGCCATGTGGCTATTTCGCCAGGGTATGAGTTTTATCAATGGTGTCCCGCTTTTGTCCCCCTTTACCAATGTTAAAATCTGGTCACCTTACATTTGGTGGCACTCAGAATCGCCAGAGTATTGACACCTCACACCATTGCTAGTATTTGCTGTTGCCAGCGGCCAAAGACATTGTTCCAGTTGTGACTGGAGACAAATTTGTTTATGAAATTGAGTGCAATTGTATTTAACGACACTGTGTGGAGAAGAATAGATGACATGTCTGCTGATACTCTTGATCGGGTAATCCAGGAAATTAAATCTGCTCCACTTCCAATATTAGCATCCAGCTTGATGAATCTACAGATGTTGCAAACTGTTTACAGTTTCTGGTTTACATGAGGTATATTAATGATGGTGACTTCAAAGATGAGTTTATTTTTTTCAAACCTCTTGAGAACTACTGCACGTAATGTATTTGACACAGTTGGTTCATTTCCGAAAGAGCATAAGATCTCTTGGGAAAAGGTTTGTGGTGTTTGCACAGATGGTGCTCCAGCTATGCTAGGATGTTTATCTGGATTTCAACGTTTGGTATTGAATGAGTTATCAAAAGTCATCAGAACTCACTGTATAATCGGCAAATATTAGTAACGAAGACACTGCCACAAGAGTTACAAGAAGTAATGAAAAGCGACGCGACGTAACTTGTTAATTTTTTAAAGGTGAGCACTTTAAATAGTCAACTGTTTTCGCAACTGTGCAACGAGTTAGATGCGCTGAATAATGCTCTGCTATTTCACTCTGAGGTGAGATGGTTGTGGAGAGGAGAGGTTTTAAAATGTCTTTTTGATCTTCATAATGAACTCAAAACTTTTTTAAATCGGAAAGCAAGACCGCAGTTCGAAGCACTTTTCAGTGATACAAGTGAAGTGCAGAAAATAGCTTACTTGGTTGACATCATTGCCGTCTTGAATGAGTTTAAATTTATCACTGCAAGGACCAGATGCAACATGCCTTGTTTTGTCTGAAAAGTCAATCATTCCAGATGAAACCAGCTTTGGCAAAAAAAATTGGATGAAAATAAAATTTACATGTTGCCTACCTTTACTTTCTTTGAGGAATATGACATTGAACCAGACAAAAGGATTACGATGATAATTTCTGTGAAAGAACACTTGCATATGCCTGCAGATGAAATTGTACTTTCCAAATCTACCTGACACCCCATTTTCAATTGCCAGAAACCCGTTCACAGTCAAAGCTGAAGATGTTCCTGAGACAGCACAAGAATTTCTGATCTGGTGAAAAAGAAGCTGTTTCAACCTTCGCAGTAATGTTGGCTTTTACGCATACTGTTGCAAAACAGCAATGTAGGCTACTGTTGTTATATTAAGGCTGTTACCCATGCTTCAAGACAAAATTTCATTTATTTTTAATTAGAAATAAATATTTCACAATATATAATTACATATTTTTGTGATGAATCACTATGCTTTAATTATGTTTAATTTGTAACAGAATACATCCTACATATCAAATGTTTACATTTCATAATAGTAGCAAAATTGCACTTATGAAGTAACAACAAAAATAATTGTTATGGTTGGGCGGGGTCATCACAACATGAGGAACGGTATTAAAGGGTCACAGCATTAGGAAGGCTGAGAACCACTGCATTAGAGGAATGACTCATCTTCTGGTCTCACACCGATGATTTTGGGTGCTTTCCTTACAGGTGCTTTATTTTGTTGCCAATCTATTAATTTACTAAGAGGTGGCTCTGGGATAGTTTTGGTTCAGGGTTTAAAAAGTATTGCAGGGGATTAGGCTTAGCCAGTCCTCTAGTCTCAGCTGACCCAGTAAGCCTTTTCAGAGAATTTGAGTTCTCGTCCCCATGTTTCTCTTGGATTGAGGGACCCAAAGACTGCACTCGGCTCCTGGCTATTCTTTCTTGATGGTAGTAAGGTCCCTGTACCTCTCTGCGGTGACTCATTTTAAGCGTTTTTTTTTTTTTGAAAGAAAAACGTATTTAATTAAAAACAACAAAACAAGACGCTGGGCTTTTCCAGAAGGGAGAGAGAAATGGGTACCCGGCTCGGAAGAGGTGCAGTTAGTCCATTCGGGCCTTCAGTGTCCGGGTGGTGATTTTGTCCTTCTCGATGATGTGGACGACGACTCCCATCCCGGACACCGCATCCCGGTCCACAGCATTCAGCATGGCTTGGGAGATGGTTTCAAATAAGTGTTCCGGATCCATGTTGGGCTCCCAGAGAGACTCGCACATCCCGTACATTTGCTCAGCGCAGGTGCCACTGACCACAAAGT